CATATCATTTTCCTCATCGAATAGCTAATTAATTTGAGATACAAAAAAATATATATTAATCTTAAAATTAATTCATATTTTTATTATAATGAATTACTAAAATACAATAGTATAAACTTAATATATTTATAATTAAGATGTTTATTAATTTTATAAATTTATATTTTAAATGCTTATCTAAGTTTTTAAATACTTACACTAATCAATCGAAATCCATAGAAGGCAAAGAGAATCGCAAAATATATAAATAAGAAAAGAAGTGTTATATTATATGTATCTTCAATAATATCTATAGCTCTAAAAAAGATTTTCTGTATACAGAATGTATTTGGACATACAATAAAATATAGATCACAGACAAATATAGACATTTTTCACATGGATTATATATATATATTTTGGATATATATATTTTTTTTTGGATTATATATTTATATATACATGTGTAATATATATTATAAATAAAACAAACCTAAGTAAATCGATATGTTTTGCTAAGGAGGTTTTTAATACGTCGTGATAATTTATGTATTTATCCAAATGTATTAAACGATTTTGAAGAATATCTAATTGACCACATATATGAAATATCAGAAGACTGAGAAAATTGTCAACTCCAGCATAAGCCATCATGGCGATAGGTATATAAATGGCTTGACTAATAAATGTGAGTTCATATTGCGGACTTTTTGTTATATCGTAAATATAATGGGTTTGTAAAGGCATTGGTCTTCCCGGATCCGTTATATTGGGAGTCAATCTCATTGTTATTCCAAATATAGGTAATATAGTACTGAAGAAGAACGTTATTCCCATTATACCGTAAGAGCATATAATAAGTATGCGTGCTTTTTGAGCCCTTTGGATCATTAAATTTCTCTCTTGAGTACTTTTTGACATCATCCAATCCTTCGCGAACATATTCATAATTGGTATAAGAGCTATTTAAAAATTAAATAATTTATAAATGCATATTTTTTACGTTGTTGCTGAATTAAAATAATATTTATAAATAATGAAAACTCGGAAAGAAATTCTAAAATAATATTTATAAATAATGAAAGCTCGGAAAAAATTAATCTTATTTCGTTTATTTTTTTTTTCGATAAATGATATAAATTTAAAAACAATAAAAGTACTTTTTTACCCATGGTTCTTGTAGATAACTATTATGTAAATTAAATAATATAAAAATGTAAATGGTCTATAAATATAAATTTATAAATTTATTAATAGACACACGTATAAAATTAATGTAAATTAATATTTTATTGCAATTTATAATATCTTTGAACGCAGAATAATTAACAAAATGTCTAATTTCTTAAAACAACAATTATTCAGAAAAATAATATGTATATATATATATATATATATATATATATATA